ACACAAAAATAGGAATGGAGAAATTAAAATAGAATGAATTATGCAGTAAGATTCTACTGGGATGAGTAGTCTCGTCGGGGGCCAGCCCATTTGTTCATTTTGTATTTGCAACAGACATAACATTTATTTCCTTCTGTTACATCAAGATCACTGGAGTATGCATCCTTTAAAAGTTAGTTGAGGATGAGTAAATGTGAGTAACTGGGATTTTTGTAGGAATGCCAAACTTGACGGGTTGATTTTGAGTTTATGTTGAAAATTTAAAAATTTGAACCTAATATGATTAATAATTGTGTCGAAATGTGTAAATACTAACCTGACATAATCATTAAACGGATTATCCGAACTCAGCCTATTTGACTCGTTTAATAAATAGGTCGTTTTCAGGTTAACACACATAACATAATTTGTTTAACCTGTTTCACCCGCATAATATAGACCTGTTTAGCACACTTAATTTGTTTTCACACCTGTTCATTACCATTAAAGATATCATTCAATTATTCGCCCAAAATTTTAATTAATTTTTTCACAAGTAACATATCACATTTCATCAATGAAATTAACTAAAATGCATTCAAGTTTCAACTCAAAAATTAAAGGAAGAACTATACAACCACTTATCATAGTAGAAGCAAAAATTAATAAGTAATAATGTTAATACCACGTCAGTCATACATAATAGACAAACTATACTGTCATTAACAAGTTAAACGAGTCTACAATGGGTTAGATCGAGTTCTTGTCCGAATTATGTCAACCTGTTTAAAATATACGGGGTTAATCAGGTCAAAATCGGGTTGACCTGATTTTGACATAAACCCAATATGATTTTTTTTGTGTTTAAGTATGTTGATCTATTTTAACTAATTGATTCGTTTAATTTTGTGTCGAAAATTAATTTTTTGTTCGATTCGTATCGAATAACGTGTCGTGTTGAAAATTGATAGTCTTAAATTTTTGGCATATTTTTTCAAATTTATAAACCATTTATTCCTAATTTAGAGATGTAATAAGAAGAAGAGCAAATTACATAAATTGTAAACCTATACATTTATCATGATCAACAGAGGTGTGTCTTAATTACCCAAAAAAAACAGAGATGTGTCTGCTTCTACTTAATGCAGTCAGACCGAGATTCCCTCATTCAATACTCTTCCTCGCATGCTCTTCGCATTTACTACCTATCTGTACTNTAGATAAATTCATACACTCTAGTATTGTGAGATTTTAGGAATTCTTGCTGACTAATTGTTGTTTTGTTACCATGCATTTAGTATATGGATAGGGAAGAGAGTTGGGAAGGAAACTTGGAAGAAAATGGGGAAGATATTTGGGAGGATAATCTTATGCAAATTTTAAATATTTGGGAACATAGGCGACGCATGGCTGCGGTTCAAGTTGTTTGCTATTTGGTTCATGTACTCTACTTGATTGGAATTTCATGCCACACCTAGTACGTAGATCGATCAATCACCCAAAATAGTGGAGAAAGATAGAGTGTAAGGCAAGAACTCATGACACAACTAACTCGTAATGAACATTGTCGTGACATTACCTGCATGAGCCCACATGCTTTTGCTAAGTTGTGTGAGTTACTCAGATGCACTAGTCGTCTCCATGATAATAAGAACGCTCTTGTTGAGGAATAAGTGGTTAAGTTTCTTTATTTACTTGCACATAAGGTGACAAATCGGGAAATGCAACTATTTTTTCGTCGATCTGGTGCGACAGTAAGTCTAAACTTCCATGATGTGTTAAGAGCTATCATTACTTTGGAAGATCAATTCTAAAACAACGTATCGGTTCAGAGGTCCCTCTCCAAATTATAAATAATAATAGATTTTTTTCGTACTTTAAGGTGAATATAATATTTTCCCCTTTTCCTTTCGTACTTCAAGGTGAAAAATTGCATGAAAACTCTCAAGAGTAATTTTTTTGCATGTCATGAAATTTTCAATGGCTTAACAATGAGTGGGTTTGCATGGAATCCGAAGACACAACTATGGGAATCGGAGGATGAAGTGTGGAAAGGGCTTATACAGGTATATTATTAACTATTTAGTAATTTTAATATGGTTACATATATATAAATTTTCTATGTTTGTTATTGTTTTT